CCACCTGTTTTCTCTACATTGGTCTGAAATAACATTGCAGCTGCCACCTGAGACTGACTTAGCAACAATATCTTGAAAAGTAACCAAAAGAGGGAGATCTCCATTGTGATCTTCAGAAGGGATAGCTTGAATATATGACTTTATCCACTTTATACAAGCGTATAGGCTTATACTTTGTTTTTTTAAAGTTATGTACACTTCTGAGAGTTTATGTCACTTAGAGTATTAAGGAGAGATGTAGACAATGCAAAGATATGAAAGATACCTAAAAACTCAAGCCTGGTATGTTGCAACAAAAAAATTTAGCTTTTCTTAATTATTTTCATCAGAAGCCAGATAGTGACAGAGTTAACGAGTTACACTGAAACATGCTGAACTAGGTTTCCTTAGTTAACATACTGTCCTCACAGCAATAACAGAAAGATCTGCAGGGAGGCCCCAACTACTCCAAAATTATGTGATGTTGCCTCTCCCCATCTTCACTGGCAGTGCTTAGACTTCTCAAATGACTCTAACCTCTGAATTTAGAACAAGTAAGAGTTATGTAGAAGAATCAAGCATTTACACTGCATGTACATAATATTTAAACAGGATCTCTTAAGTATTAAAAATCCTCCAACACAAATCAAACAAGAAAAAAAATTTAAGACTAATCTAATTCTAACCTAAGACTTATGTTCAGTTTCTAGTTAACTTCACTGACGAGTGAAAGCAGTGCAGAATTCACTTATACCAAAGAATGAGAGCTGGCATGAAATAACTGTCCCAAAAGATAACCACTTCTTACAGACTACAGATACAGCATGCATCCCAAATTGCCAACATTTTTTTTTTTTCACTTTTACACTACAGATAATTGAAGAAATACCATTTTTTGAAGTTGAGCTCTTTTCCCCTCATACCTTTATGCTGACTTAATAGAGCCAGCAGCCTAAAGAACAAGATCTTCAACTACCTTCCATGCCACTGACTTCCAGACCACAGGACCAGAGAAGTCTGTGCTTAGATTTCTGGACTAGCAGACCCAAACCTGGATCTCTCCAGCCTCACTAGGGATGGCCCACGAAGAACTGATTTTGGTATGAGAATACCAGCACGACTGAGGTGTGCTTTTAGGTGGAATTGAGCTCCTTTGGGGCAAGAAAACCGACAGAAGTACAGGCACAGGTAACAGGGTGACAAAGGTGATTGCTAAAAGGAAACAGGGCAGTTATTGAGTCTGCTACTTTCCTATCTGCATCACAATGGCATACAGCTTGGCTGATGTAAAAGATTGCTATAAAGTATCACAGCTGCTGAAGTACCCCATTCATCTCAGAAGGTTAATGCCACAACACTTCATACAGGAAACAGACTCCGGTTACACAAGATCTGTCCATCCTGCGCACACCACAGAATCACTTTTGTGCTCACTCAGAGCATGACAACAGTTTCACACTTGAAAAGTCACAACAAAGTACACTTCAGATATACAAAGCACACATATAAAAGCTGGAATTTCATTTTAACCAGCAAGTTAGGCTACCATTAGATAGGTGTGGCAACGCACAGTGTTTCTTAATCAGGGAGTTATGATCTCTACGTGTTTTATTGCAGTCAGACAAAAAGGAAGCCTTCTGTGCAACAGTTCAAGCTGAGACGTTCTCACTCACCTTTCCAGAATCACATTGATCATAATGTCCTTCAAAATAGGAAAAGGTGTTCCCAAGGGACTGAACTTAAATACAAGAATCATAAATACAACCCAGATGAAGAACGCTAGCAGAGGATACAAGTTACAAAGTGACTACAAGTGAGCAGTCTTTAAAGCTAGAGACAAACAGAATGCACCTTCAGAAGCCTGAGAGCTTTAACTCAATGAATTATGAAACTATTAGAAACATTAATGTTGTCAGGTGCTATGCCTACTTACATGCTGTACAACTATTTTCATGAGAACTCCTTGCATGTACACATAGCCACACATTTCCACTGCCATTCTGATATTCATGGGCAGCATTCAGTATTATGTTACTTAATGGAATCACTGAATGGCTTGGGCTGAAAGGGACCCCAAGGACTGTCGAGTTCCAATCCCCCCCACATGCAGGGCCACCAACTTCCACTTTTAATACTAGACCAGGCTGCCCAGGGCTCCATCCAACTTGGCCATGATCACTTCCAGGGAGGGAGCATCCACAACCTCTCTGGGCAGCCCAGAGAACAATCTCAGCCGAAAGGCTGTGTTGCAATACTTACTATCCTTCAAAGTGGTGCAGTGGGTATATTTACAAGTTAACTATTAAATGCATTTACAATTTAAGATGCAAACAGCCTTATTAAAATAAATATCCTCTTAATTGAGGATCCCTTCATGCCAAATGCAACTTCTAACTCCCCACAGGCACATGTCATTTACAGTTATTTTTAAGTGCACCTCAGATCCAAACAGTTATTATAAAGTCACAAAAACTAATGGACTGGTTGTTGTCAAATCCAGCATGTCCTTCTCTCATCCTCCATTTGTATTTGTTTATTACTCCTACCTGGTTTAGTACCCAACTTCAATCCACACATTAATTAATTTACCTAAAAACTGGCTGTGCCTGGTTACAGTGCCACATACCTCACGCCAACCTGCTTTGCAAAGCAAAAGTGCACTTGAACAGAGCTCTATTCCAAATCATTTTGTGGACTAATTTGTTCCATACCTGGAAGCCTGAGGTGTTGTTATGATTTCAGCACACTGAAAAAAAAAAAACTAACAGACATGCAACAAGTAACAGGAGCTCTTTAATTCCTCTCTTTAAAGAAGTCAGAAGCCCCTCTACATTCACCCAAGAGGCAAGATAAGAAAGCTAGAGCAAGTTGGCCAGCAGTGTCAGCAGAACACCAACGCTGAATTTCTGACACCTTGTTCACGTTGTCTTTTGAATTTCAAAGTATAGCTAACATTCAGCTAGTGTCTCCACAGTGCACACAGCAGGGACATGCCAGCAACATATCACAATGCCGTTTAGGTGACAGTCAGTTCAGTCCACCCCTGCTCAGCTCCTAGGTGTACAGACTGCTTGGAAAAACAGGGACTGAAGCAGCAAAGCCACCACCTGGCACCCACAGCCTAATTAATTCCCACCTCATGGCCATCAGACTCTTCCAGGCTTCGCCACCTTTTCTCCTTCCACTCTGTTAAAATCTTCTCTAAGGGACTCATATCCAACAGTTCATCATTTATATCTATTCTCAAGCCACTGATGTTATTCTAGACACATCTTAAAACCATGCTTGGAACAAAATCATTTTCTAAGTTTAGCTCCCACAAACTGATGAGCACTTCATCCCAAAATATACTTTTGGGTCATTATTACGGCATTAATTGAAAGTCAGAATTGAACCTTTAACAGCTCATAATAACAACCATTCACCCATAATTTATTCCTTCCTGTTTGTCTGACTACCGCATGCAATTCACGTGTGATAAATAGCACTCTGCAGTTTGTTAGTGCCATATAATATAATCAACGTATCTAAGACTGCCCTAATGAGCTGTACAAGGAGGGAAAAAAAGCTGAAGTCATGCTTCCAAAGCAAGCCTTTACATTACCTACATTACATTTAGAATTCTTAATGTGCAACATCAAGTTATCTTTGCTTAATGTTTTTAATAAACGTGTGTCTGGCTGCATTTAACAGAAAGCCAAGATGTTATGTGAAAAATAAAAATAAAGCAAAAACAAAGTTGTGATTCCCTGCATGGTTATGGTCAGTGATCCAACGTGTCCTCACACCTCTTTGTCTTCTCACTTTCTCCTCTTCCTTACCAATAGCCCTGCACAAATGGCACTGTGTGGCTGCATCCAGCTGTGTGCATGCAGATGCGTGCTGTCCCATGTGTTGTCAAAGGGAGCTGCCTTCTACACGCCCTATCCTCAACGCAACCCCAAGTCCCGAGGTGCTGGTTTCCATGGAATAAGGGCATCAATCTCCGTTACTGGCAAACTTAATAGAAATTAGACAATGAGCTAACATTGCAGGACGGAGAAGGAATAGATGGAGAGTGTCCACGAGCCTTCTTTCCTTAGGAAATCAAACTGGAAACACACCCAACAGGAAAACGTTCGTTAGCAAGGCAGAAGAAAAGCTGTAAAGGAGAAGGACTTTTGCATCGCACTCCGAAGCCACCACACCTCCAGCCCGAGCTCTCCCACAACAAAAGCACCGACACGATGCACGACACGTCCTCAGGACTACACCGCAGAGACGTTACAGCTGAGAACCATCACAAGAGACAGAAAGCACCTGCTTTTCGCCGTCTCCGAAGTTACAACTTCCTGAGCACCGGGTGACGGCTCACCGCCTCGGACCTCCAGGACTTCCCAGCAATAACCCCCATTTCCTCAGTGCCGTTACCTGCACGTTTCCCCCGCTCCGGGCGCTGCCGTCTCACCCCCTCTCCACCTCGCAGAGATGCCGCTCCGTCAGACAAAGGGGATGCGGTCGCCCCTTACGTCCCGGGGCGCCCCGGAGGCGGAGGAGGGCGGGAGGACGACGGGACGGCCCCGGCCCGGCCGGACGCGGATCCCGAGTGGGCTCGCAGCCCCGTCGTCGCCATGGCGACGGGCCCAAGCGCGGCGCTCGCCCTCGGCCAACCGCCGCCTCCCTCACGGGCAACGGTCGGCGAAGGGGGAGGGGCGGCCACAGGCAGCACCCTCAGCCCCAACCCGCTCCCCTCCGCCCTTCCCCGAGCGCCAGCCCCCCCCTCCGCGGCCCGCACTCACAGGGGGACTGGGCGGGCTGGGCGGCGGCGCCCCCACGGCGGGGACCATCCTCCGGGCGGGAGCCCAGTGCCAGCGCGCCGCCGCTGCCTCCGCTCTCCTGTCCTCCCGCGCAGCCTACCCTGCTGTTAGCACGCGCGGCCGGCGATAGCCAATCGGACGGCGAGGGTTCAGCCCAGCGGGCCAATCGACGAGCGTGGGAGCAGGAAGGCGTCCCTCGACACGAGTGGGCGGGGAGAAGAGGACGTAGGGCCAATCGCCGCCCCAAACACCTTGAGCGAAGCCCAATCAGCGGCCGAAGAGATTGAGAGTGGCGTGCAGACCGTCAACAAGTTAAGGTGGCCGAAACAGGAACTGTCGTAGAGCGGCATTACGACCGTCTAATAGGGGAGCGAGAAGGGAGGCCGGGGGCGGGCGAAAAGTCTTAAAGGGAAAGCAGCTTGCGGGAGACCCCGCCCCTGGCGGCGGCACACGGGAACGGGTTGTCCAAGGAGGTTGTGGATGCCCCAACCCTGGAGGCATTCAAGGCCAGGCTGGATGTGGCTCTGGGCAGCCTGGTCTGGTGGTTGGTGACCCTGGGCATAGCAGGGGGGTTGAAACTAGATGATCATTGAGGTCCTTTTCAACCCAGGCCATTCTATGATTCTAAGAGCTCACCAGCAGCAGCAGCCTCCAGCCACCCCCTAGAACTGCATTTATGGGACAACTCAGCCCCTACAGCTGACAGGTAACCGAATAACCTTTACTGCTTTTTCCTCCCACCCCTCTCCCTCTTTAAGACACTCTGTCATTTAATACCAAATCTGAAGAATAAATAAGTAAATAATTTAAGCTGCTGTAAGCTCAGAAGATAATACCCTTGCAGGCACAGAGATGCAATGAAAAGACAGAAGCACAGGGTAGGTATGACAAAAGATAGGGTCTCACAGCTGCAGGCAGCCAATAGCAGAGGCCAGCGCTGGGGCAGGACAGCCTCTTCAGCAGCACAGCCTCTTCAGCAGTGCCCCAAAAAGAGGGCAGGAGGAGATGAAATGTTTCTGTAGGTCAGTGGAGGTCATAGGAATGAGGAAGGACAGATGGACCTTCCAGCACTGAACAATGTGAAGCATTCTACCACTCAATTAGAGAACCCTGGCATTATAATTGTTGTTGTTTGTTTGTTTTTCCTCAATAATAATAATAATAAAAAAGCTTTGTGAAGGGCAGCAAAAGTTACCAAGTTTGTGCAGGTGCTGTTGAGGTCAGCACGGACAGATGGCAGCTCCAAATGTGCCTCCCAGGCTCTCCAGCAGAGGTCAGGCTCACCAACAGCAGCTCAACACAGCCAAGTCCACTGAGCTTTTTGCGTGTTATCCTGAAGAGTGCACAGACTGAAGCTACTAATAGAGCATTCTCAATAAGCAAACATGCTGTAGTGTATTTGGGGTTACATTTCTTTCCCCTTCATAGAAACCACATCATCTCAACTTCATTACTTCATAAACAGCACTTTCAAGGTTAGAGAGGAGCAGAAAGAAATTAATTAAAAGAAAAGTAGGAAAAGATCAGAACAGTAACTTGACATTTCTTAAGAAATGTCATTATTAACATTCACCAGACACTGTACTACAAGCAGGTACAAACCCTAGCTTTCCTAAGATTGTTGTCAACACTGGAAATAGCTACCCACTCATTTCAACACTAAATATTTAATCTATACAATCTGATTGTTTAAATCAGATTTAAAATATAAATTATCTTATAATTAATCTTAAACTATAATTATATCCAGGCTGGATGTGGCTCTGGGCAGCCTGGTCTAATGGTTGGCGACCCTGCACATAGCAGGTGGGTTGAAACTAGATGTAGTCCTTTTCAACCCAGGCCATTCTGTGATTCTATAAAGCACCGAGTTCCCCATGCCTGGTCTTCTTCAAGACTGTGCCAAAATAGTTCGACAGTTGCTTTCCTTCATCCCCCAAGGCACAGGATTTCTAAGAAAGGCTCATGACTTCAGGGAAAACAGCCAACCCACCCCCACTTTCCTCAGCCATCAGACACACGTGGCATTCATCATACAGCAGACCCACTCTCCGCTCCTGTTTGGAATGCTCACTTTTTTTTTTTTGAAGTCTTCATGGAGTATTCTATATCTGATTTCAGAAGGAAACAGCTGGACTGCAAGAAATGCACATGACAAGTCATAAGTGACATAACTCAAATAGTGCACGTTTATTCTGAACAGTATTTCTAAAGAGTCTGAGAAAAACAAAAACATGCTTCTGATGTACAACAAGGGCAATGATATAGATAATAACGGACCAACTCATTGGTAAAGAATTTGCTCCCCCTGCAACTCAATTTGTAACGTTGAGAATGCAATTGCAAACTGCAAACAGCATACCTTTAACTAAATTTAAACTCAAGAGACCAGGGGTGGTCTTAGCCAGATTAATCAGAAAGCAGTTGCAGATTCAAAAGAAACATCCAAGTCAGCAAACACTTTACAGAAACACAGACTTTATGCATAGCAGCTGACCCTGGATTACAACATGGGGGAGAATGTAACAATGGATGTTTAGGAGATCAAATTTTTACTAGACATCACAGGGCACCATCAAGAATTAACAAAATATCACAGAAGTTTGTTTCAATTGTAACAGTATGTCATATTTAGTTGGCAACTTTAACCATTAGCTGCATCACGTAAACTCAGCCAGTTTCTGTATACACAAAATAAATTCTCTCCCCTCCCCCTCCCAAAAAAGAGGGATATCTCTCCTGGATGAATCTTTTTCCCCTGTACCATGGTGTCCTCTAGTAGGAGTCTCTTTGTAGATATCATGCTTCAATCCACGTATAACAAAACCAATTGCAGAGATTCAGGAATAATATGTAAATACACAGTTAACTCTCTAAAGCTGCTAGTTGCATATACCTTTTTCTCGCTAGATCCTCATCCAGAACAGAAGTGCTGGTGTGTTTTTTTCTCTTCTCCACTGAAACTCCCACTCAACTTCAAAAAAAGTTTACTTGATCATAAACAGTTATTTTCAATCTAAAAGAGTTCCTGCTGCAGCAAAATATGAAGTTCTCTGCAGTAAGCTCATACTTCAGAGTTTCAGTGACTCTAGATAACAGTACTAAGATGCAGCATTCTCTTACTATGGCCGACTCGGCCAATATACTGATACAACTGTTTGTTGTTCAGAACTACTGACCTGCACTCTCCATCATCCATGTACAGGGAACACAGCTTTCTAAGAGACTGAGATTCAACCTTGTATTTAACAACCGTTTTCCAGGATTAACAGCCTGGGAAAAGGAGTCTTACATGAGTGGTCACTCTTGCTTCCACCTCTTACAACACATTTAATCAGAAGTTACAATGAGGCAGGTTTGCTGTGAAACAGGAGCTCTAAGAATTGTTTTCAGGGATACATTCATAGAATGATGGCAGCCCAAAGCAAAGAGAGACAGAAACAAAGGTTACTCCAAGTAAGTTCAGACATCAGACCTGTACTTTTAAACCTGAAGGAAAACTGTCTGCAAAACACACTGATTTGTGGAAGCCTACGACAACAGCAAATCCTAAGAATTCATATCCCCACACCCATCTACCCAACCCAAACACTTACCACTTAGTTCTAGAAGAATGAAGAGCACTTCGCTTGGCACCAGAGGCAGCTATGGTCTAAGTTACAGCTGTGCTGCATGAACATCCTCAAGTACAATACTATCTCTCTCCCACCACATACTTCTCTTGGTTTGGTCTACAGATGGCCAGGGAAACTATGTTGGCATATGACAAACTAATTGTGCTTCAATACATTCCCCCCTCAAGACAGATACTAGAACTGCCAACATAAGCAGTGCAAGCAGATCCTAGCAGTACTAAAAATAAGCTTTTGTCAAAACTAGGTTGCTTCTGGACAAAGAAACTGCTGCTTCCTAGCCAGAGTCTGCTACCAAGTGTTGCAAACACAGGTGCTCAGGCCATGCAGAGGGGCTTTTGTTGTTAGAGACCTGCCCACCACCAAGACTCAATTAGTGCAAACCTAGCAAACAGAATAGCTGTTTTCCAGCATAGGTCTGTCAAGATGCATTCCAATAACACTACACACCTCTGGGAAAGTAGTAGCAATTCTGGAGCAGCTTGTATAGTCACCCCTCCAGGTAATAAAGGACCACATAATGTGCAATGAGGGGTACCATCCCTTGCCTCTTCACAACTCCCATCTTGAAATTCTTGGTTCCCAACTCACCTTCAAACGACTGGACAGCACCTGCTAACAAGATGTACGCTGCAATGCGCACTATAGGTTGGCAGGCTTTCAAAGCAGATGAATTCAAGATGCAGGTTCAAACTTTAAAAGAAAACAAACAGGAAAAGAATGCAGTTCAATATCTACTTGGGAGATGGGCAGGGTGGTGTTGTCTCAGCTCAGTGCACTTCCCCAGATGCTTGGAGAAAAGTCCAAGCTTAAGCTGGTATCTGTATTGGCATACACAGAATTGCTGGCAACAGTGCATAGAAAGGAGCACTGATTCATGCAAAGAAAGCATATAGGATGCAAAGCAGAGCTTAGAGTTTGCTGTAGCTTTTCTGAGGTTACAGCACCAGGAAGAAGCCATTCAGCCTATTTTCCAAATCCATAAATTGGTCTAGTATACACTGCTTTCTCCAGTGCCCCACAAACACCATCTGAAGAGAGGAGAACTGCATTATTATGGCTGAAGGGTAAAAGGAAAAGAATCTTCAAAAGAGCAAACCATACTGTTTTTAAACCACCTCCTTCTGAAGAAGCACGTAACACAGCAAGCCAAGCCAATCCCAAGAAAATCCAGGAGACTCCTGCAAAGCAGTGTGACTGGGGTCAGATTCTTGTTGGCCTTCTCAGCCTTGCTGCCTGGTTTCTTCAACCCTTGACTCATCTCAGATTTGTCACCACAGGTTTAGCATCTGTAGCAAGTTTATCTGGAGACAGGTGTTTGCCTTACATGATCAACATGGGGAAAGTGGTCACAATCACTCTTCCCATTCCAACAGTACAGACAAAACTCTCAATGAGCCCTACAGCACTTTACCCATTTTTAAAGCAACGATCTTGCCTCAGGATTTTTTTT